AGGACTTAAACTCAGTTCACTTAGGCTCATCTCCAGCACTGACTAATATGGTAGGGAAGAGATTCAGACAACTGTCCAAAAGAGATTCAGTGCATCACAGTACAGTGAATTTGTGGCCAAATTCACAGTGGAAAAGATGATGCAGCCTTCCACATTGCAGCACAATCTGTAATGCCATGAGGGGAAAATTGAAACCCTCTTTAAAAAAAAAAAAAGCCTGTTGAATGGACAGGAAATATAAGTAGCCCTTAAGTAGTAAGTTTTTAAAGTAGTGAGAGGGCAGAGTATTTAGGTGAAGCTTGGTGAATTGTGTGTATATCAAGATGAAAATTCCAAGCTTCACTTTTATATGCAGCCTCAGATCTGTTTTGTCAGAGGATTGTTGCTTCTCGTGTTAACTTTTTCTGAAATAGATTTTCAGACTCCTGTTAGAAAAAAGGGAGTTGGGCATACCACATATATGGCAGAGGGTGATTTTTTCCCCTTATATATATGTCCTATTCAGTGAAACTGACTTCAGTTCACACATCTTTTTTTACCCTTTCCAGATGCCTATATTTAATATCCATGTCTGACAAAGTCTTTGAAAGAGCTTTAAAATTTTGGTTGCTCTTCACAATTAAAAAAATCCTCCAAGCTACAATGAATGCAGAGTAGTCATTCTTGCCAGTACAGTGAAATAGATGCTGAGAAAATGTCTATGGCTCTGGTCTTCAAAGCAGGAGAAAGGCCTTCTTGATGAGGTATATGTGGTTGCCAGGAATGTGCCAGTTCTTCCCTGAATTGTCATACAGGCAAATGTGCTTCCATCCACCTTGGTATACCACACTTGACTTCCAGCTCCAGGTCTGCCAGCAGCTATGGGGGTATCAAGAAATACCTTTTTACATGGAAGTGCAAACAGGTGTCATTTTTTAACTGCTGGCATTCAGGTGGCATGCTCTGACAGAATGTGAGATTTTTCTGATTACTTGGCTACTAATAACTTTGATTGTAGATACATTACTTAACAATATAATCTGTTGGGTATATCTGTATTTTTGCACTTTGCTTTCATATATCTCTGCACCAGTGTTCCCTCTAAGCTGAGTTAGTGTGAGCTAGCTCACAGTTTTTTAGCCTCCAGCTCACACATTTTTGTCTTAGCTCAGGAAGGATGGCTCCAGAGCAAACTGATTTATACAGTGGCCAAATCACTTGCTCACGACTTTAATGCCAGTAGCTCACAAAGTAGATTTTTTGCTCACAAGACTCCACAGCTTAGAGGGAACATTGCTCTGCACTTGTTTTTAAGGGTATGTCATGACTACCAAAGGTAAGATTTGTGGTGTCATTAATGTGGACATGACTTTTGGTGTTTGTGTGCTTCTGCCAATAGCCTATATATTATTTGTCCATGTCTACAGTTCCTTCCCTTCCATACACAAAATTAGTAATATGCATACCAGTTTTCCGTGGCTTCCTTCTTACTGTGACAAGATGTTGTATAACGGTTTTGTTGCCTGCTTCCCTGACAAGCATTTAAACTTATAACTCCCACTTCAGATATAAAATTTAAAGTCTATTCTGTTTAAATGTAAGCTTCGATTCAATGATATGTCTAACCCACTGGATGTTCACTGAAAACCTACATTTAATCAGGCTATTTGAGGAACTGGTGAAAGCTGTCTTGTTTGCCTTTGTAAAAAAAAAATACATGTAACATCTTGTGTAAATCTGACTCCATCCTGTAGAAACTTCAAGGAATAATAGCTTTGGTATGAAAGTTATAAGTAGAACAGTCCATGCTGTATGACATACTGCATCAATTTAACTTAAGATGTTTTGTGACAATGGGTATCTAGCTATGTGAACAAGAAACTGTTATGTATGACTTATAGCAATATCTGACCATAGTTTTGAAGTAGAGCACATAAGCAAGCCATAGACTTTAACAAAATGATACCATAGTTAACTGGAATGTTCATATGGGTCAATCCAGCTAGTTATTGTCTTAAGGCCTTGAGCAGAAATGGTCTCTACAAAAAAATCCAATATTTTGTACAATGAAATAAAAGTAGCATTGTTCTTTCTTTGTAATAAAGTGATTTGTCTTAAGATCTGTCTTTATGTCTGCCTCTATTTAAATTAAGACTCTATAGAGAAACTTTTCAGCTGTTTTAACTCATGGAACTGGCCATATTTCTAGACGGAGGTGGTAGTAGATTATGCAGTCACATTACACAGTTCGGAGGGTACCCTCAGTGCCCATCTTTTTGAGGGCATGTAAAATTGTCCTCTTTTGGGCACTAAAACTTTTTAATAGTTATTTGACCCTGCCATTTTTATTTCCATGTGAATAGCTGATTGTTGGGTAAGGAACACATTTTAAAATGAGATATTAATTCACTGTCTTGAGAATGTCAGCTGTTCTTGAATAATTTTATTCTACTTTCTTATTTTTATGTAAAAAGTGTAGCCTTCTTCATAACTTTATTCATTTGGAAATCTTAAAATAGTGAAGCACCATGAAACACATTTGTTTTAAGAGGAGATTGAATCTATACCCTTCACTCAGAGTGGCTTACAAACTCCTTTCCCTTCCCACAACAGACACCCTGTGAGGTAGGTGGGGCTGAGAGAGCTCTTTCCAGAACTGCCCTTTCAAGGGCAGCTGGAAGAGTAGGGAATCAAACCCGGTTCCTCCCAGATTCGAGTCTATGCACTTAACCACTACACCAAACTGGCTGTCAGTTTTAAAAGGGTAACAGTGTCTTGTTACCCTAACTCCTATAAATAAGAACTAAGGGAGATCAGTGAAAGCTTTTAAAAATCAGATGTAAAAGTACATGGCCTATGCCAGGAGAAATTCAAGAACAGGCATCTTTGGCAAAGCTGAAAAGATCCAGAACTGGAAGATTAAATACATCATTCAGAGACCAGACACTCGTAAACTGAAGTTCTAAAATGTATGCTGGCCTCTTTTCATGTATTCTGGACAAAATGTTCAGCTATTCACAATCTGATCAGTGAACATACATTTAGGCTGCTAAATCATTTGACTATATAGATTCTTGGAATGCAGAGAGATTTGTTTGTACCCCTTCCTCAGCATCCTCTTATCATGAAAAAGCCCTGAACTAGCTTTTGAATTCTTCAGATGTTTCCTATATCTGTAGTTTCTTTACTAAACTATAATGAAGTTCAGTTCTGAATCAAGGTTGAGTCATATACAGCAATACCTTAGTACTCTTTAGGAGTATCTGATACACAAGATTAAATTACCAAATTGCATGAACGACTGACTCAAGCTATTGTTTTCATGTATAATTGGATCAAGAGTCATCACTGCTGATAAATGCTGCATAGGAGGTCCACTGTACTTATTCCAGGAAATTAAGCTGGCAGTTTGCCTATAAGGCTCTCAGATGAACAGTTTTCAAACCATTAATAAAAAATTAAGTCTATGTACTATATCCATAGGCTGTTTTTATTAACTTTCCGCAATCAAAACTTAATTTCCCCTGACAATGTTCAGGATGATTTATTCAAAGGCTATATGTTCACCAACATTAGCTATCCTGCCAGGGAACGATACTGGAAATATGAACTGAAATTCAGCACATCAGGAAATAACCACTTTTAGTTTCTTGCTCTTCCTTTCTCTAGGCATGTCTCCACCATTATTGGTTCACTGCAGTTCCTTTGTCACAGGGACTATACAGGAATGAGCCTCAGATCTGGTTTTTATCTCACCATGTGTATGTTCTACATCTTTATTATTATTAAAGAGCAGGATTGGCTTGTATAGACCCTATTTCACATTAAATCAATACACAGGAAATGGTGAACAAGTTCTTACACTTAATATACCCATGATGCATAGAAACTTGTGCATCAGCTGTGACAAAACCGAGATTTTAGTTTGGTCCTAAAAACAGGTGAGGGTCACTCTGAAGAAGATATCAACAATGGACTAACTCTCCAACAAATATGAAGGGACAGCAAGCAAGTCAGGTGTAGGCCTGAGCCCCTGTTGGTATATTGATACTATATAATCCTGAAGGCACTCTTCGAAGAGTCACTGGCTCTCTGCTCATCTACAATTTAACCTCCAGTGGGTAACTTCTTTTAGGTGGCAAGGTGGCTTTTAAATAGCGAGTAACTGCCACAGTGTTCCATTCTAAATGCTAACATGCTGGCACACAGGATCTTAGGGTCTATGAAGCCACCTAAAAATTAGGCATACTAAATTATTGCAAAGACAGGAAAGAGCAAATATAAGAGGCTTAAGTCTCTCATTTCAGATCCCAGACTCATCCGTACACATATTTCATTACCTTATAAACTGTAGAATTGCTATACATTGTGGAAATACACATTTTTAACTGAAACTCGCAACAGAGGAAATCTGTTTTTAAAAAAAAGTGAGACTAATGCCTCTAACTGATGGGATGAACCAAAACTACCACATATTCCCAGCTACTGCAGGAGAACAACTGTACCACAAGGTACAGCTAACACTGTTATTGAACACCAGCCAATCCCCAGGAACTACTTCTTCACAACAGGACAGTTGTTCTGCAGCTCCATTATCATAAAGCACATGTAAAGGAATTCCTGGTAGACTATGTTCCAAATGTGTAATGTTAAGAGATCTAAGGACTCATTGCATCTGGATTCACATTTAATTCAATAATTACATTAAAAAGACTGGGAGCACTTAATTCAAGCTGCAGGCGCTTGAGGAATTCCCTTTCAAAGTCAAAATATCAATAAATACGTTAATGCAACTTTAGTCATGCAAAACAGTTACAAAACAAAGATCAGCTCAAATTTTATAATAAAAGGCAACTTGCAATCAAAATGTACAGTACCCTTATGTTTTATTCAAAGGGTAAACATGAATTAAACCCAGCTGTTTACTTGAATTACAAAAGTAACATGATTCAATATGAAAATAAGAAACTGTCTACAAATCTCTGACAGTAGTAAATTGCAATATACAATGCATACAGGAGTTATACAGAGCAACAAACTCTTGTACAAAACAAAAATACTTTTAATACCTTTAAAATCCAATTTTTTAAAATCATTCATGAGAAAAAGTTCGAGTCAGAGTTCACACCTCAATTAGTCAAGCCTCAGGAAGCTACATTACAGCTACTGAATATACAAAGTGACACTTTCTTCTTCACCAGCCATTTCAAACCTTTTTGCATTCCCTAGTTCCTCCTGTGTCTCACAGTCCCAGATCCAAAGCCTTCTTCAAATCATGAAAATTGAATTTGCTGAACACCAGAGATCTAGGGAGTGGAAAGGGGGGGGGGGGAGAAAGAGATTACTTTCAACAAAGTACTCATAAAGACACTTAGCTTCATCGCAACGAAGTCTGACTCCAGTGGCACCTTTTAAGACCAACAAAGTTTTATTCAAAGTATGAGCTTTCATGTGCACGCACACTTCCTCAGATACACTGAAATGGAAGTTAACAGTCCATACATATAGGCAGAGAGTGAACAGCAAATTAGTATACAACATAATGAAGATGTTTTAACAGGTGCAAAGACTAAACAGGAATAATATCTTAAGTTTACATGGTCACAATTTCAATGTATCTGAGGAACACGCTCATACTCTGAATAAAACTTTGTTGGCCTTAAAGGTGCCACTGGACTCAAACTGTTCTGCTTGCTTCAGATCAACACGGCTGCCCACCTGGATTTACTTTCAGTGCCTAACTGTTAAAATTCCAAGTTGTTTGATTTATTAGCCTTCTGGTTGCCTCCCGTTGTGTCTGTAGATTGAAACAATCAAGCCAAAAAAAAAAAGAAAGAAAGAAAAAGGATGAGGGCTAGACAACGTACCTGTTGGTAAGATGTCGTATAGACCATAACATTTTGCTGTTGGCCATCTGTAGTTATCAAACCTGCTGGCAACTGGTTTGCTAGAAGAGAAAAAAAGTTTCAGTGAGCAAGTTCACATAGCAACACACCCAACTTCCTTTTTGTTCACCTGTAAGCAAAACATTACCAGAACCAAACCACTTCTAGTTAATATAGAAGTAGTAGAACGCCACTTTGGCATTACCAGTCTTACACCTAATTTTGGAAGTGATGCCAGAGCACAGAAAGAAAAACTGGCAAATAGGGTCAGGTACAGACAAAAGGCATTAACTGACCCACCAGGTTTGCTGGCAGCAGGGAGGGGGGATGCGCACTGGGCCAGAAGTGGTGGCCAGGGGACCACAGGCTCCCTCTAAGCCCAAACACCACCAACACCCAGTGCCCACATTCACAGCTAGCTTCCTTCCTGTCAAAGGTGGAAGGGAGAGAAAGAAAGAGGGGGCTACAGAGACTGAAAGGAAGAAAGCGACCACTCAAGACACCCAAGCAGAAGACGGTTGCTAAAAAGTGACTCTCCTTACATCATTCTACCCACTGGGCAGTTTGTTTGGGAAAGGGGGCTCTTCTTTTGACTTACCTTGGAGCTGAGGTGATCTGACCAATGGACAAAGGAAAAATGTTATTCCCAGTTAACAGCTTCTCCCTTGCCCCACCTCTCTTTCACCTCCAAGTGTGAGTGGATTTGTGTTGCCCACCCCCCCAAAAAAGGTAGAACTGGCCCAAAATTCAAAGTCCCCTCCTCCGATTACTAAGCACCTTTCTGATTCACCCCACCCCTCAGGAAAAAGTGAAAGATCTGCCAGAGCAAAAAGAAAACCCGGGGGGGGGGAGCTCTTTACTCTTCTGTAACAAGCACAATAACAAAGCAGCAACAGGGAGGGGGAGCTCAGAAAGCAGGGGAGAAAGTAATTTTCCTGTGAACTTCTCATGCGTCCCCTCCTGTTTCACACGTATTTTCCTTGCACAGCTATCAGCTACAATTTGAACTTGACTGAACATACAGCAATATCAGTGAAAGATTCACACACAGATCTCAACCTACATACATCTGCACATGCACACACATCTGCCCGAAGAATTCCTGTTTCAAGAGTTTCCTCAGTGTAATTGCTGAGACACCATTGTAAGCTTTTACAGATTCACAGTAGAAGATCTGTTCTGTAGATACAGAATCTTATTCCATTACTTTGTTGTTTAGCAGGGCAACTGCCCATGTACCCTGTATGACTTAAGCTATATGAATGAGTAAGGACAATTTTAGCTGCAAAGTAATATGCACACTACACAATATGCAAAAATCTAGACTACTGTGTTTAAAGAAAGCTTATTATATCTGTGTCTGTTAACCAGACTCCAAAAGCCAAGTTACTTACTACAAAGTTATGACAAATGATTGAGTGCAGATATTTTGCCTACGGAGCTATACGCTAATTTTATATATATTTTCAATAATTCATCCAACTGCAGGCTAAAGACTGGTTCACACATGCACATTTGTCACTGATAATTTGCATTTGTGAATAAATTCACAGACACAGGGAGCATGTTACTGTACATCAGGGTCTCCAATATTTCTGAACCTGTGGGTGGTGGTTGCAACCACAAAATGGCTGCCACAGAGGCAGAGCCAACAACAAAATGGCTGCTGCAGGGGGAAGAACCAATTATTTTGCTGGGATTATACTTGTTAAGTCCTGACATTACCCTCCTTGCATCATTTAAAAATGAGTATTTTTCAAAAATGTTTTTCTTGCATATACACAAAACAGAGGTAACTAAGAAACCCTCATCTTGCAATATCTGTCTTCATTTTACAAATATCTAACATAGCTATGCAAAAGGAAAACATGTTTCTCCTTTGCAAAAGCCCTTTCTCATCATCTTAGCCATTTTCCCCCTGCAGTATTACTTGTAACAATGACAACTGGTTCTGATGAGGGACAATTGGTTCAGTGGAACCAATTCAGCATTCAGCAGCAAGTTTTCAAGTGTTGACCTGAGTGTATCACAAGGATGTGTGAACCAGGCAACCTCCAGTTCGTTCTGGTGTCTCTTTCAAGACTCACTGGAAGTTGCACAGTATCAGTGTTTGGTGGACTGCAATGTGATCCTGGTGTTATCAAAACACTGCAGAAGTACTGACTACTGAGCATTTTCCCCTCCAGTAACAGTTGCCCAATGTGAACTCACCGCTTCAAGTGATACTTACTAAATGCTTCCTCTGTAAGCTCTTCACTAAGGCCATCTGCCGTGGTAACTGCTCCCCCAATTCCCTTTTCTCCTTTCATTGCCTTGAAGGAACACAAAGGTCTTCTATGAGGATACTGGCAGTGTCAATTGCATAAAATCAGATGGCATACATTTTGGAATATCTACTAAGCTTCCAAATTCTTTGTTTTTCCAAGTGCAACTCCTCCATAACAGAATTTCATTTGCTAAGTACACATATATAGAATTCTCAGAGCCTAAGATAGCTCCTCCGATTATTACAAGAAGAATTCTGCTATAGGCATAAGGAATAACCTTTCATTTACATTTCACAACCAGATTCAAGAAAAACAGGATGAGAGAGGCAGAAGAATCAAAACTGGCACAGCTTTAAACAACCGGAAAGGTCAGAGAGTTCATACATGTCACGTTCTAGGTTGCCACAGCACAGCTACAATGGCCAGGCTGTGCTGTACACCTCAAGTCAGGTTCTACTCACTCATCCTTTTCCTCAGCCTGGCTGGTGGCTGCTCATGCTGCAGGGAAAGGGCAGGCAAGCAAGCAGCAATAAGGAGGGCCTGCAGCAACCACTGCCACCAGCTGATGCTCCCTTACACCTTGGCATGGCAACAGTGAGGAGTAGCAGCTGCTGCCTGCTGCACAGGGGCAAAAAGGGAGAGATCTGTCACTTGCTCTTCCCCTCTCTGGGACATGATTGCACACACGAGAAGTTAAATAGAGTTAAGGAGAGACAGCCAGACAAGGCAGAAAAACAGGCCATATCCTTAAAGCATGTGACTGCTGGGCTCATCAGTTCAAATGAGCTCCTCAGTAAAAACAGTAAAAAAAACAACTTCAGCCTTTAATGACATTTATAAAAGGTGTGCCCCAACCACCCCATTAATGTTCAGCTACTCTGGAATACAATAAAAATTTTTTAGAAGTCAATCACATAAACCATGTCTCTGGAAAGTGCTGCAAATGAGACCCTGTAGAAAGAGTCATCAGTACAAACCTCTCTGAACTTCTGGAGATACAACTTCAAAGGTTCAACATAGCTGTCAAATCCCAGGGTGGACATGGCAAAAAGAATATCTTCCCCATTTATAGTCTTCCGTTTTTCTTGGTGACACCTCTCACTTGCTTCTGACGTTATAAAGCTGATAAATTCACTTACACACTCCTGCACACACTCCTTTGCATCCTTAGCAATCTGAAAAAAGCACGTACCAAGTCTAAACTGAGAAATAGGACTGGCTTATCAAACACAGATTTAGCTTAAATAAACAGACATATCCAAGCAGACATATTAACAAGTCTGGACCATTGATCCAGAAAGAAAAAAACCAGGCAAGTAAACTGACACACTACCTCAATCAAATCTTAGAGGAGATATATTTCTAAGAATTATGAACAAGTGGCAGTTTTTCAGCATAACAATTTTGAAAAACATAGTATTTAGAAGAAAATGGAAGCTGGCCCAATTTTGAGAGTGTGTGCATCTTACACGTGATGGAAATGCAAAGGTTCTGTTTTAGACAGGATGGGGATGCAGATGAGGCACTTGCTATTTCTGTTCCCCACCATGACATCATCCTGTAATCAGTGTTACATTTTCATCTCCTTTAAATGCAACTCAAAGACAATGCATCTTTCAAAACATTTGTTACAAACTGCAGACTTTCCTGATCCTGCATGTCAAGTGAAAAACATTAACAACACTCTCTTTCAAACATATTACCTTTCCTGTCTGAGGTATGGCATTTTTCATTATCCTCGCCACATTTGCAATTGGAAGGTATATATCTTGTTCTCTAAAGCTCTCTTTGGAGCCATTTGTGTCTTCATGATCATTCATGCTGTCTTCAGTGTCTAGGAACACAAAAGAAAAATAGTATTAGCACAGAATGCGGTGTATACCTTTGGTCACCTTAACTTAATCTCCAGTCAGGAATTCATCTATCTCAGAACAAATATCAACAACGCCTCAGATCATCACCAAACAGACTGCTGTAAAAGAACTGCTCATAAAGTGTCTTTTGTTTTTCCTCAAGCTTCAATTCCTTGATAATGATTCCACTGGCCTGATACCACAATCTTAGACTATACTGAGAAAAGTCTTGGACTATACTGACACAAGGCATGGAAATGAGTTTATTTCTTGTTTACAGAACTACAGTGCTTCCCATAGAGCACTGGATGGTTCAGAATCAGGGAACTCACTGATAATTCTATAAGGCACATAAACAATGTATTTTATTATGCAAAGATTTTAAGAACATAAGAACATAAGAACATAAGAGATGCCAATGTTGGATCAGGCCAAAGGCCCATCCAGTCCAACACTCTGTATCCCACAGTGGCCAGAAATACCAGTGCCATCAGGAGGTCCACCAGTGGGGCCAGGACATTAGAAGCCCTCCCACTGTTGACCCCCCCCCCCAGCACCAAGATGACAGAGCATCACTTGCCCCAGAGTCCCTATCTATACCTTGTGGCTAATAGCCACTGATGGACCTCTGCTCCATATGCTTATCTAATTCCCTTTTGAAGCCGTCCATGCTTGTAGCTGCCACCACTTCCTGTGGCAGTGAATTCCAAGTGTTAATCACTCTTTGGGTGAAGAAGTACTTCCTTTTATCCGTTCTAACCCGACCGCTCAGCAATTTCATGGAGTGCCCACGGGTTCTTGTATTGTGAGAAAGGGAGAAAAGTACCTCTTTCTCTACCTGCTCTTTCCCATGCATAATCTTATAAACCTCAATCATGTCACCCCTCAGTCGTCGTTTCTCCAAGCTAAAGAGCCCTAAGCGCCTTAACCGTTCCTCATAGGGAAAGTGTTCCAACCCTTTTATCATTCGAGTTGCTCTTTTCTGCACTTTTTCCAAAGCTATAATATCCTTTTTAAGGTGTGGTGACCAGAATTGCACACAGTATTCCAGATGAGGTCGCACCATTGATTTATATAGCGGCATTATGATATTGGCTGATCTGTTTACAATACCCTTCCTAATAATCCCCAGCATAGCATTGGCCTTCTTTATTGCAGTCACACACTGTC